CAAAGAAGAGGAAAGCAGAAGGATCATCTCATCAGACTCCAAAGAAACGAGGTAATTCATCTGCTGCCCCTATTTCAATTTCATCTACTATTCCAACATCTGCTGCCCCTCCTAAAACCTCTCACAGAATATCCATTCCAATCCCTACTATTGATGAAACCATACCAGAAGACCCTTCTGAGACCTTACAACTCAGAAGAACCAGAATCAAAATTACCAAACAACCAACTGTTTCAACAACACCAGCACTTGATAGAGTGCTAGCTGATATTGAGCGTGAACATGCTTCTGCTCAACCAAATGCTGAACCACTAAATACTCCTCCTCCACAACCAGAACCTCAACCTGAACCAGAAATACAACAACAACCAGAACCAGAACCACAACCACAACAACCACTCACAGAAGAACCTCTGATCCCTGAGCAATCAGAGATTCCACCTCCTCAACCAGAAAATAATCCACCTTCACCACAAACAGAGTTTCAACGCTATGAAACCCCTTCTCCTCATCATTCTGACCCCCACTCACCTCAACCTTCACCGCTGGCAATCCAGTTGCCATGTGGAACCACTATTGTCAGGCCCCAGTTGCCATCTTCAGAGGAATCAACACCTCCAAAAACTCCGACCACTCCAATAGAAATATCTTCCTCTGATTCTGATAACCCTCCTCCAAAACAAACAACCTCTGAAAACCAATCCGCTGAAAACCCCAGCAGAACTTTCATTGACTTAACAAGTCTTGAACGTCTTGCTGATCTAAGACACAAAATTGCCATACCCAAACCAAAGCAACCAGATGTTGGCTCTGGTATTTTGAATTTTGAAACAGGTATGCTGCAATGGATTGCTTCTTTGAAGCAAGTCTGTCCGGGGATGATCGACCCAGCTGCTTCTGATCAGCTCTGGTCACAGTTCAGAGTATGGGTACGTGCTGAAGCCCTCAAGCTGCAGGACGTCAACTATGAGTAGGCTCAACAGAACTTTAGCAAGCTGCTGAAGGAAGTTGAGAGTCAGCTGCCTCAAGAAGTTGTGCTCCCTCTGGACAGTGAATCTTGGTCTGAGAAAGAGCAAGCTGCACAGGTGCAACCATCAGAAGACAAGACCATTCAGGATGAAGAAAATCCAGCAGAAGATGTAGCTGAAAGTTCTGAGAAGCTTCCTCCTGCTGAAAGTTCTCAAGCTGCCTTGGACAGGCAGGCTCTGGAAGAACTAAGGCTGAATGACTTGCGTCTACAGCAGCGGATGGAAGAGAATGATCAGAAGATGGAAGCAAGAATGAATGTACAGGACAGCAAGATTGACACAGTTGTCACCATGGTTCAGAAGCAGAATGAAACTTCTGAAAAGATTCAAGCAATGCTGGAAAGCCTGTTCTCACGCATGCCCCCTCAACCTTAAAATTTTTTTTCATGCATGACATTCTCTATGTTTTCTTCATTTTCTGATGTACTGTTTTGACTATGTTTGTGTAATGTTCTTTTGCTCTGAACTATTTTAATATAATTTGTTTTTCTGATCTAAATTGTTTTAGCACATCACCAACACTTTTTGATTGCTGACAAAAAGGGGGAGAACAAGAATGATATTTAAAATCAATAACGGCTAACTAGACAGAAACTCTCAAACATTCTAACTCTATTACTTGAAATGTTTTTCTGTTTTGTTTTTAAGTCTACAGGCACAAGGAAGCTCTTGAACACTATGAAGACTAGAAGCTAGAAGCTCTGATCAAAATGTAGAAGCTCATGTTGCTCTGATCAAATATGAAGTTCTGATCGACCTAACACTCTGATCCGAAGCAAAGCTCTGACAGGAAAAGCTCTGAAGCTCTGCTCTCTGATATGTCAAAGACCTATAATCTGATGCTCAAAGATAGAAAAAGATCTGATCCTGAAGAACACGCATATCAAAGGGAAGTAACAAACTCAGGGGGAGTATCTCTTAACTCTGATTTCTCTTTACTTCTTAACTCTGAAACATTTCCCAGATACCTTTTCACGTTATTTTTTCATTTAAAATATCTAGTTTTTGTCATCATCAAAAAGGGGGAGATTGTTAGAACAATGTTTGAATCTAGTACCCTATATTTAAGTTTTGATGATAACAAAGTGAAAAGATATAGTATTTATATGTTTCATGTTTGAACTATATGCTGCCTAAAAATACTATGCTCTGACTTGCAGATACGCTGATTAAAATAAGCAAGATCACTTCATCAGCATCAGAACTTGATTTGATACACCAGCATCAGAAGTTGCTGAATCAGAACGTGAAGATCAGATGATCAACTCACGTACTTGCTGAAGCTTGATGAACAGAACTGCGCGTAAAACACTCTGATACAGAATCAAATAGTTCATCAGCAGCGAAGCAGAATCAGAATGAGCCAAGCCAGAACGTGCATTGAAGAAGCAACGGTACTGTGCATTGAACGCTAATCAATTCCAACGGCCTCATTCCAGACAAGATCTGCTCAAAAAGGAAAGCTTGTTATTAGCATTGAATCAAGAATATTGCATTCAACGTTCATCTTCTCAAGTGCTATATAAACAAGGCTTCGAAGATTATCATGGCTAATGCTCTCCAATTCTCTACACGCACAAAGCTGAACAATAATCTTCATCTACCAGTTTTGCTAAACCAACAAACTCTGATACTCCATTAGCGTTTAGCAACCTAGTATTCTAAGCTTAATTTGTGTATACATCACAGTTGTGATAAAGTTTTGTAGAAAACATTCAAACACATTTGTTTTATACCTTTGTAAGAAAGTGTTGCCTTGACAAACCGGATTGTGGTTTGAGTCAAGAAGGCTTTAGCAGTTGTTAAAGCAGATTTGTATTCAGTTGAATATAGTGAATTAAGACCTCGTTGGAGAGAGGCGAAATCACCTTGACGGGTGGACTGGAGTAGTTTGAGATCAAACGAACCAGGATAAAAATATCTTGTCAATTGCTTTAAGATTCCAGTTTTACAATTCAACCCCCCCTTCTTGTGTTTTTCACCCCTTCATCATATAGATTGTTTAATCAATATTGCCATTGAGGATTCCGTCTTGACATCCATTTGATGGAGTTCTAAACCATAATGTCCAACAAGAGTTATGATTGTCCTAAAAGAGTCTTTTGATGAAACCGGAGAAAAAGTCTCTTTAAAGCCAATCTCTTCCTTTTGGGTATAAACCTTAGTCACAAGACGAGCCTTATGCCTATTCACATTACCGTTAGAATCCCACCTGATCTTAAAAATTCATTTGCAACTAATGAATTTCACCCCTTCTGGTAACAACACAAGTTCCCAAACCTTATTGTCTTGTATGGACTTATACTCTTCCTTCATTGTTTCAATCTACTTTTCTAAGTTGGGATCCTGCATGGTTTGACAGAAGTTGATTGGGCCATCTTCCATCATAGTATTTCTCCTTTCTTTAGTAGATATATGCACATGCATTGGTTCTTATAACACTTGTTCTTGAGGATATTGAGTTTGTTCTTCAAGAATTACCAAATCATCTTGAGTAAGAGGATATTAAACAATGTCATGTGGATGTTTCATACTTGCTTGATTAAAAGCAATTGTATGGATATTAAAGACTCGAGTTTCATACTTGTGGAGGTTTAAAATCACTTGACCAAAATTCATTGTTTTGATTAAAAATATGGAGATTGTTAAAATGATGTAAATTTATGATCTATTTTATTCAGTTAAATTTAAGAAATTTTAAATGACACCAAAAAGTAAAGAATTTGAAATTGCTTATTCATTTATATAATGTGGATGTTAAGTTGTTTATTATTAATTTTTCAAAAATTGTAAGATGGTCCTCATATTTTTATGAAAAATCCAAATTTATTCCCAAAATTTTCAAAAATTGTTATAAGTCCCTAATATTTTTTAAATTGGTCCCTTTAAATTGTCAAAAATTGCATATTGGTCCATATTTTAAATCTAACTCAAAAGTTTTAAAATTTATGAAAATGGCCCCAAAAATTTAACCATGAATCATTTTAATACTCCATTTAAATAAAATAATTTAAAAATGAATGAATTTCAATTGAATATCATTTGAATTACTTAGAATTTTGAATTTGTTAAAAGTTCTCAATTACCTTATCCAAACACGAGTGTGTTTGGATGAACTATTTTAACGAGGGAAGATGATTTTTTTAGGGACAATAATTTTTCGAGAGAATTTAAAATGATTTGAACAAAATCTATTGTTTGGATAAAAAAATATAGAGATTTGTTAAAATGATATAAATTTATAAAGTATTTTATTCAAGTAAAATTTAAAAAATTTAAAATGATACCAAAAAGAAAGAATTTGAAATTGTTATTTTCTTCTAAATGATGCGAATGCTAAATTATTTATTATTAAAATTTCAAAATTTACAAGATGTTCCTCATATTTTATGAAAATTTCAAATTTACACACAAATTTAGAAAAAGAACTACAAATAAGTCCCTAATAATTTTTAAATTATAAAAATTGGTCTCAATTTTCCATGTTTTAAATTTGGCTCAAAAATTTTAAAATTTATGAAAATATCTAAAAAAATTTAACAATAAATCATTTTGATACTTCATCCAAATAAAAGAATTTAGAAATGAATTTCAATATAATCATTTGAATGATTTAAAATTTTAAATTCTTTAAAAAATGTCAATTAACTCATTCAAATATATTGTAAGCCAATAAATATATATGTCATCTCATTTATAAAATATTTAATATTTATTTTCTCAAATAATATAGAATTTACATAACTCACTTATTTTTCAACCTATACAAAGTAAAGAGTTAATTAAACAATTAATATTAGTTAATATCAAAGGTGATTAAAGAATGTCAAGTGAAATCAAAATCATGTAAATCGATCATAACCCAATAATAATTCATCTACAATTCTTGTAAACAAATCACATCTCATATATTTCTTAATAGAAATCAAAATCACAACAAACATGAAACAAAGTTTGCAAACAATTAAATCTCTACCAACCATAAACAACTTCTGAGTACTTATTCTTAAGCCATCTAAAACTCTTTCTAAAAGAGCCTCTGACTTTCCCTTCAACAGAATACATCTTATAGCTAGCAACTCTCTTCTTTCTCTGGAGTTCAGGATCATTCACAAAACTCAAAGACTTAGAAAAAGATGAACCTGATGAAAAGCTTTTACCTTTCTTCAACTTCAAATCCTTAGAAGTTTGTACATAGGAAGAACTATAGCTTCTTAGATCATAAGGTTTTGGTGGTCCATAGTAGTTTTCTAGCTGCATCATTTGGTGGCCATTTGAAATAGATTTTGATCTATGAAAATCTTCCATGGGAATTAGCTAGGAAGTGATTGAAACTTGAAGGGTTTTTGTGTTTGTATAATTTGAAGGCTTGCACTTTTTTTTCTTGTATTAAAAAGATTATTATGTGGGGGCTAATGAAGACTTTTAAGAGGTTTGGTCTACGGTGGCTAGGTTTACTTTGAAATTTAATTTAGATATTTTGTGGTATTAAATTATGTTGAGTGTTAGTGTTTTTATATGGAGAAATTTGATGTATTATTTGTTGTCTTTTTTAGTTGGCGTGTTTAGTGGGGAATCATGTAAATTGTGTAATGTTTACGCTTTTGAAATTCTTGTCAAACAAAAAGAAGATTATTGTGGATTTTGCTTTTGACTTAGAAAAAGGATTCTGCTCTGTGTTGTAATAGAAAAAGGTCAGAAACCTTTTTTCATGGTCCATTTTTAAGAATTTAAAGTTCAACATGTGGTTCTCTTTTAAAGAAAGGGCTTTAATCAATGGTTTTTTCTTACCAAAGGTTTATTACTCCACTAAAAGTTAGTACATATTATTTTTCTCAAGTTGTTTTTTTTTCATGTTCTTTGGAATTAAGAAACAATTCTTAATTAGGATGACAAAACAGGTCGATTCGTCGAGTATTATAAATTTATATTTATTTTTGGAAAAAAATCGAGCTTTTAGACTCACACTCTCTAACATATCCACTGTCTCACTCTATTTTTTGGAGATTTTTGCATACACGAATATTATTATAAATTTTTGTAATTTTCATGCTTTAAAGGTGTAGTGCTTGCAAGCCTATCTCATTTTGTCATTTTTATTTTTGCAGGGAGCAAGATTTTAGCCCCACACCATCAACTATGCCCACCTTTTCTTTTGCAGCTTTTGCGAGATAGACCTAAACAGAACGTGCATGTCTATTTGTCATCCCTACTTATAAGACTTGTGAGAAATACTTGAACTACATCTTTAATGAGAATGATGAGATGAGATTCTCTATTAATCTAAATTATGGGTGTTCAAATTTAACTAGATCTAAAAAAAAATCGCAAACTAATAATGTTTCGTTCAGGAATCATAACTAAATGTATATTGATGATGAGGAATCCTGAACTTGGTGGTGTTGATCTCCGATAAAATAATGTTGGGGTAGGCCTACAATATTAACACTCCAACGCCTAAGTCATTTCAAAATTCAAAATGAGTGTAGTAAAAGTGGAGATCAGAGAGTGTACCTTGAATGGACCATGTAACAATTTTTATATCTTGTATCATTTTGGAAGAGACCGGCATTGGTTTGGGCCTTTAGTTAGCCCAAAACAGTTGTCCCGAAGGCTTGCAGGATGATACTGAGTCAGGAAAGTCTTAGTAGTCGTGGTCGGCCTCTAAGGATGTTGTTCGCTTTGAATCAGAAGCATAAACACTTTGAGTTAGTTGGAAAAGTAGTGGGGGACAAGTGCATTAAATTCCTTTCTATCATTGAAACGTTTTACTACTCCTTTCTAACGCGTGACTTGAGGTGACTAGTTAGAACACGGCGCTGCTTATAGTGAACTTGAATTTGCTTATGTTTCCAAGAAGGAATCCAATCGTTGATTTTGAAACTTTTTATTTCAATTGATTTAGTTTGTTGCTTGCCTTCGCGTATTGTTGCACTGGGATTTTCAGGTAGTAGAAAGTCAACGAAGAATGTCAAAAGAAAGAGACATTTAATGTGAGAAAGTATTAATTGAGGGCTTAAGAGCATTGACGGGGAAGCGTCGATAGAACATCAACCAAAGTGTTAATGAGAGAAGATATGGTTTGGAGGAATCTCATAAACAAATCCACAAGACCAGGATCATCTTGAAACATGTCCAGAATCTTGAGAAGGACAGTCAACAGGACGTTCGATTCAATAAAGACATCTATCGATGTATGCGTCTGTGTCTAATCTTTTCATTGTTTTATTTTTTCCTTAAATGAAGCATTTAATTTTTTTGTCTTAAGTCTAACATTTATTTTAGGTTTAATAGCAAGTTCGCCCCCTTCCATTTAGGCGAGTTTTGAAAAATCTCCCTGTAAAAAAAATTTAGATCCCCCCTACCATTTGCATATTCTCTTGTTTTAGTCTCTCATGATACCCAATCATCAAAATCTTTGACGTGGCATGAATTATGTTGCTTTTTTTTTTAATTTTTATATTTTTTAAATGATGTGGCTTTACTTTTTATTTGTTATATTTTTTTATAATTGCTACATTGATTTTCTTCACCTTCTTCATCTTCCCTTTAAACCTTCAATTCAAACTTTCAGAGCTTTTACTCAGCTCTTCATTCATCTATAATTCCAATTTCCAAACCCAATTTTCTTCGCTTTGTTTTTGGGTTGTAAGGAGAACATTCATATAAAAGAACAGATTACATAGCCACTTAAGAAATTTAACTCTACACATAGTTTCTTCAACTATTACACCTCTTAAACCGCTGAACTCACAACTAATCGGGGTTTCAGAACCCATTCTTCCAAAAATCGTAACAACCAACATAAGTATTTTCTCGTCCAATAGTTTTACTGAAAATCGAATAATCCCAAACATAATCAGAAAACACAACATCACATATTGCATTACTAATTACCAGGTAAATTCAATAAGCATTAGGAAAATCAAAATCAATAACAGTAAAAGTTTCAAACCTAGCTCCCTCAATTGATTAACCCTGCTAACAGATTTAAGAATTTTAGCATCCTACACAAAAATAAAAATATTCACAAAATGCATCTGGCATAATTCTTCTTCAACCTGCTTGTATAACATCACATGAGACACAAGGCCGAGGATAGTAAGACAACGAGCCATGCTCTAGGGTTGAAATAAAGTTGCATCGGACAAAAAAATCTCTTTGAAGTGGAAATCACTGATTTCCTTTATCCCTAACTCCATTTTATCGTTTTTATTGTTGAATCCTGTTTATCGCACCTCATTATATCATTTGCATGTCGTGAATCTTGTGTTTCCTTTGAGTTTGTTGATTTATGTTTCTAATTTAGTGAGGCTCTGATCCGTACGATTGAAGAAGAATTTGGAAAATCTGAGTTTGGATTCAGTTACTGTGTGGAAAAAAAGGGGGGTTAGTATTGAGAGTTTTAATTTTTGAGGTGTCGCGGCGGTGAACTCTCCGGAGAAGAAGGTGGTTTCTGCCATGAACCACTGTGAGCCGCCACTCACTTTGTCTTCTTCGGCATGACTTTTTATTTTCAGCCACCTTTAGTTGCAGACCCCTATGTGTCTCGATAGGTTCATTACAAGCAAATGATAAGTTTAGCTTAGAACTTATAAGCTGCTCAAATTCATCAGTAGATTCATGAAGAAGAAGAAGAAGATGGAAAAGAGAAAAGATGAAGAAGATGAAGAAAATCCATATAGCATTTATAAAAAATATAACAAATAAAAAATTAAAGCCACATCATTTAAAAAATATAAAAATTAAAAAAAGCCACATAATCCATGTCAAGTCAAAGATTTTGATGATTGGGTATCATGAGGGACTAAAACAAGAGAATCTACAAATGGTAGGGGGAATCTAAATTTTTTTACAGGGGAATTTTTCCCAACTCGCTCAAATGGTAGGGGGAGAATTGGCTATTAACCCTTTATTTTATGTCATTTGTTGCACTTTATCTCCTTGTCATTTATCAAAACTTGTCTTCATTCAAGCTCTGCCTTTGTGTCGTCTCTGTACAAATGATCATATTCAAATCACACACACACACACACACACACATACATGTTTTCATACACATCAATTGCGTAAATTGCTTTGTAAATTTCTTGAGTTAATCTCACTAGCTTTATCAAACTCGTGATTGGTTACCAAAATCACCGATAAACACCTATATATAGGGGTTGTTGAATATTGATGAAACTTTTTGCAATCCTTGAGAGTCGGTTTCGGTTTGCAAGTGTGATCGGTGGGAATAGAACTGACTGTTTTTTTAGCTGGTTTCGCGAAATGTCGCGGTAAGCAAGAGTCGCCACTGTCTTTTATGTTCTCCAACATGGAAAGGACAAAAGCACAGCAAAATTCCTTATGAGAATGTTTCTCGGTTCGGGAGGTAGATTTATAGAAAGGGAAGGTGTTAGCACCCTTTCTATCTGTGGTTATCCATGGGCTCTTAGGTACTTGCTCTTATGTTTTCAAAAGATGTTTGCTTTTCAAGTGTGTGTGGGTTTTGAAAAAGTTCGTTTGAAAACTTCTAGGTAACTCTTGTATCAGTCCTCAAGAGTGTATGAAGTATTGTTTGAAAACTTTTTTGAAAGTGTAAGGTGTGAAAAGTATTTTGTTTATTTTGAAAAGAGCAAGTACCCATGAGTCATCTACCTACCCTAAGGAATTAAGCTATGTAAGAGTCCTTTAGATAGTGCTATCCCACCATTGAGAGGTAGGTAGCACCATCGTTGGAGGTATTCGGGTCAATTCGATTATAGGGACAATGTGGTCACCGAAGCAATAATAGGACACCTTAGAAGTAACCCTAGTGTCCTAGATCCTTTTTATCCGAGGCAACCGTTTCGAGGTAACTGGATCTTAGACAGGAGGGCTACCTCTAAAACACCCTATACTTGACGACCACGTTTCGAGGCAACGAGTGAAGTGTACCCTAGGAGTGATATGTGCATTGTGTGTTAGTTTTCATGTTAACATTTATCTTGGATCATGCAATTGTGAGCTACGAGTTGTTTTTATTTACCATACATTCTTTCATGCATTTAACAGTTAGGGGGTGCGGAAAGTAAATTGCGGAAACATAAATTCTACGCTATTACAAGGCGCGGGTCTATACATCGCCAAAAATACAAAGACCCGTTTTGGTAAATAAGTACGGAAAGTAAATAAAAAAAATAAACCTAATTACTATTACATCCGGAGGCAGTTACAGAAATAATCAAAATAAAGAATTAAAACCAAAATGCGCGCGAAAGAAAGAATCGGGAATGTCTTAAGGGTGTTGACCCTTTTTAGAAAAGAAATTGAATTTTTTGTCTTTT